TTTTCAATTATTTGCTTTTTTCGTTGCCCTCTGAATCGATATAAATAAAGGAATAAGAATAGAAAAATTCACTTCTCACCAACAAAAAGATAAAGAAGAGGTGAATAGATGATGTGTAAGCATTCTTAAAGATTATGGATAGATTAACCTCCGCCATGAAATGAAGAATAAATAACAATTTTACTAAAAAGTAATTAACTCCTTTTTTATTGAATTAACTTTATATTTCATAATTCTTCATATTTAGCACTTTTTAATAATTACCTCTATACCTTCTTTTCATTCTCATTTTATCTGACTTATGTTTCTATATTAAATATTACCCTTTTCTTTTCTTATTTCTTTCTTGATTAATCATTCAATTTGTTTTTTTTTCTATTTATCTTCTTCTCTCTTATTGTTTTCTTTATTTCTTCTTGACTTAATTCATTGAACAAATAATGCATTGTTTCATTCTTCTTTTAAATAACACACTTAATTAATATTAAATAACTCTTTACTGAACAATTAAAGAATTAACTTAATTTTAATACAAAAAAATGACTCAAGGGATTTAACAAAGAATTAAACCCAATAATAATAATGAATGATAAATAATGAATGAACAACAACAAAAGAAGTACTTCATATTTCATTTCGATATTAACCATACAATAAGAAATGAACCTCAATTAATAATAAGTATTATAAAAATACAAAAGAAAATACTTAACTTAGTAAAACAAAATAATTGAAAAATAAAATAACAATAAAGAAAGAACCAAAGTAAAATTATATCAAATTCATAAAGTAATTCAAAGTTTTTTCATCAAACCCTTATTGTTTCAAATTCTTACTTCCTTACATAATATTCTATTTTATACTTCCAAAAAGCGTTTGGGAAGATTAACTGACAGTAAATGGAAATTTTTGACAGATTGTATTTATTAATTTTCTATAAACCAAGAATTACAATCATTAGAAGGTTCAAAAAAAGTGAAAGGAATCAAAATTATTTTGTAAATTTGCAAAACCAATTCTTTTCAAAGTTTATTTTGTTTATTAAAAACCAAAAAAGGTGCTATAAAGAAAAAAGATGAAACTTAAATTATGGAAATACCAAAATCAAATGAAACCTCCTTTTCCTCAAGTGTATTAAATTTAATAAAATAACCTTTTCAGACAGAAAGTCAAACAAAATCTCCTTAA